ACCTTGTTATTCTTATTGGTATATTAAGAGTAAACAAAGGAACCTGTGATTCATAACGTAGTATATAAACTCACTGCGCATGATAATGGGGGGCGTTTGGAAATACTTCAAGTCAATACTTGGAAAATAAGAGCCGTACTGTTATGTAACAAAACTCGGCTTTTACGATCCATCGATTAATATATGTTTATTTAGTAGAAAACTTGATATTCATTTTTCTTTTTTTTTATTATTGTCTTTCAACATTCAAGTAATTTTTACAACTCAGAGAGTTTGTAAAATTAATTTTTCAATCAATAAAAGTTTTCTAAATCTGAATTAGTAAAAATGTTTACTAATTTGAATTAGTCACTTAATTTTTGCTTTTGAATTAGTAAAATTTTACTAATTATTAGTAACTTTTATTAACAATTAGTAAAATTTAATTAAATTCTAAAGCAAAAAAAAAAAATAATTTGTTAATATTTTTACTGCTAATTCAGATTTAGAGAGAAGCAATTGAAAAGCTAACATTTTTTTGGGTTACTGTATTTAAGATATTATTAAATAAAAATTATATTTAACTAATATTAGAATAATATTAAATTAATATAATTAAAATATATAATTTTGTTATTACAATGTAAAAAAAAAACATGGAAAATTTATTCAATTTTGGAAAAGTAGGAATAAATTTTTTTTAACAAGGGGATAAAATTTGTTTAAAATAAAAGACAGTTATTGCATATGGTGTAAGATTCTTATATTGCAGTTGTGGAACGATTGAATAGAACGTCATCAGCAAACAGCAAAAGCGTTACGTAAAGGTCGGTCACCCGGCCACGCTACTCCTCTGCGCACAGTCGCAAGTCTCTAAAGCAGCAAAGCTTACAGTGTGTATGTGCAACAAAGTGCACGTCTGCATATCCTCATATATACGGCAAATATACCGGCTGTTAACTTGCGTCTCAGCAAAATGCGATTTCTTTGCAATTTCTGCGAAGGTCGCCACTTCGATTCCGCACTCATATATAAATTTAGTTATAATTACAAAATTTAAATTCAAAAAAATCAACATAAATTTTTACAATTTTAAAAAAAAATTTCACTAAACAAAATTAGTGGAAAAAAAACATTTTTTAAAATATTATATTCAAGATATTAAAACTTTTTCATTATATCAGAAATGATTTATTTGAACCAAATAAAATATATTTGAATTAAATAAACGTATATATTTGTCTCAGAGCTTACTACTCTCTAAATCTAAATTAGTAAAAATGTTTACTAATTTGAATTAGTGACTCACTTTTTGCTTCTGAATTAGTAAAATTTTTACTAATTATTAGTAACTTTTACTAACAATTAGTAAAATTAGTAAAAAACTTTTTGCTTGAGAATTAGTTAAATTTTACTAATTGTTAGTAAAAGTTACTAATAATTAGTAAAAATTTTACTAATTCAGAAGCAAAAAGTGAGTCACTAATTCAAATTAGTAAACATTTTTACTAATTCAGATTTAGAGAGTAACTTATTTATATTTGGTGTAAATAAAAAAATTTTATTTGTCAGTAATCAATTTTTCTTTGGCTCAAATAAATTTTTTTTTTATTTCAATGAAATAAAATATATTTGTAACAAATAAATGAATTAGTAGACGCAAATATACCATTTCTCTGAGTGTAAGTACTAATTTTAGTCAAAATTAGTAAAAAAAAAAAATTGTATTAATTTTTTGTCATTTTTCATTAAAAAAACTAAAATAAAGAAAGAGTTAAAAAAATAGTATTAAATAAAAAATAGTAATATTTTACTAAAAATTAGTGAATATAATTAGTACCTAGTCTAGGAATTCAAATTCAAAGAGTTGCGTTTGCTGTTATTTTTTTAAATTTATATTTTGTTCTCATATAGCTTTTTAAAAATTATTACCTTTAAAAAAAATTCACGTAATTTATATTTATAGTAAAGAAATTATTTCTTTATTGTTATTGTTCACGTTATGCTGAATTTCGATTTTTGTTATAGAATACATAAAAATCGCTTGCGTGTGAGTTTAAAATTTAATAAACAAATTCAAAAATACGCGAAACTAATTATTTTATGCTTCTAAGAAACTTCTCCGGAATTATTATATTAGTTTAAAAAACCGAAAAAAAATAAAAACTTTTTTTGAGAAAACTAAAAATACAATAAAAAAAAAAAATAATATAAAAATTATTAAAAAAACATAATTCGATATAATTTCACTCGGCTTCTTGAAAAAAAAACACTTTTGCGTATTTTAATTTTGTATCTCCGACAAATTTATTTATAACTTGTTTTGCAATGACATGGAAATTATTATAATGAATATATAAAGAGTATATATATATATATATATATATATATATATATATATACTTTCGCATTTTATAAAATATGTCTTTAACACATGCAAACATGAATTACACGTGTCACTTGCAAGAAAACTTTTTTTTTTATATTAATATATTTAACTATATTGTATATTTTACTTCAAGTATTGTTTCGCGATCAATATATAGTACGTCATAATGTTAGCAACGAATGACCGAGAAAAATAGGAATGCGTATAAAAAAAAACATATTTCTTTTTTCTTGTTTTTTTTTTTATGTCAAATTTTTTTTTTTCTATAAAAAAAAAACAAAAAAAGTTTATTTTAATTTAGTAAAAGAAATAAATAATACAATAATGTGTCTAAATAGAGATTTATAAAATTTTTTTTTTTTTTTTTGGCTTTATTGCAAGAATGTTCAAAGAGATTGAAATTTCTTGGACTGAATCCATATAAATATAAATCAAGATTGCTCATCGTGAAATTCATTAGGTTCTGATTAGACAAATATAATGAAGAATAATGATAATTGACGAAGAAAAATTAAAGGAAAATTAAAGTATATATATACAATTTTAATGTTTCCCCTCAATTGTTTCATTAGTTAACAACACACGGCCTTTGAGAGAGTGGACAACAGACTCTCTTGGGTGCGAAGGCAATGACATTGCCTCACGCCAGGATGCATTCTGCGTCATTCGTTTGACGTTGTCATTCACCTTCTATATATCTTCAATACGAAGAAACATTTTTTTTTTTTTTTTTTTTTGAAAATTATTATTAAAAAAAAAACTTCAAAATAAAATTTTCGTATAATAATATTTTGATAAATTTTAATAATTAATTTAATTAAATACTCTCTAAATCTGAATTAGTAAAAATGTTTACTAATTTAAATTAGTGACACACTTTTTGCTTTAGAATTAGTAAAATTTTACTAATTATTAGTAACTTTTACTAACAATTTAGTAAAATTTAACTAATTATAAAGCAAAAAGTGAGTCACTAATTCAAATTAGTAAACTTTTTTACTAATTCAGATTTAGAGAGTAGAATGAATTTTAAATTAATTTTGTTTAATTAAATAAATTCAAATTTTTTTTTATATAAAGAGCTCAATTTTAGTACTAGATGGAAAAATGGTAAATTTCATGCTTTAATTGTGTTAACCTTGTTACACATGGAAGAAAGATATATATCACTGTGGCATTACGTTCAAGTTCGACGAACTTTTTGTCAATTTTTCCCTCTTATATGTTATATAGATTAAATCAGTTTCGCGTCTTTAGAAACAAAACCAGAATTATTCATGAAGCTTTTATATATAAACAATTTATTCTCATCCTTCCATTTATTTCCTTTTTTTCTCAATTGAATATATATAGATATCTTTTTTTATATTTAAATAAATACATATTAAAATTATTTTTTCTAACTAATTTTAAATTCAATTAAAATAAAATTCATTTAAAAATTCGATAAAAAAAAATTTATTTACTACTTCATTATTGCATTGTTATGTAAATTAATAATAGCACTTGAGTTAAATCAACTTTATGTAACTTATTATTCCAAATTTTTCACAAACACTAATTGGATAATATATCTGTTTACATAGTGAAATAGTACATTTTTTTCTATTTTTTTTTTTTTTTTAATAATTTTTAATAATGAAAAATAAATTGACAAAGATTTGTTTTTCAAAGCTATTGCATATAGTAATAAACAATATATAGAAATCGGGTTATTAATTTATTTGCGAAAATAAAAAAAATTCAATATTTCTAAACTATTGGCGCGTCGTTACGTCAATTTTATATAATGCAATTCATCGAGAGTTGAAACTCGAAATTCAACTGATTTACGACATAGTTTTTCAACAATAAGTAACACAGCAAATGAGCCTTTCTGATTTAAGATTATGTTAAATTTTATACTGTCGCCTAAATCCGTTGTAATTTGTAAATATATGTAATAATCGATATAATTGGAGGAAATTTACGAAATCTGATATTGCATTATACACTTTGTTGCTTAAGATCTTTTATCACAATTACATATATATATATACAAACACATACATTAGATATAATTATTGTTATTAATTTCTCTTACCTAATTTAGTTTCGTTATAAATGAAAAGCCATTTTTTTTCTCAAGTTTTTCTTTATTAATGTTATTTTAATAGTGTTGAAAAGTTATTTATTATTATTATTAAAATTATTAATATTTAATATTATTTACTAATCTCTAAATCTGAATTAGTAAAAATGTTTACTAATTTAAACTAGTTTTTTTTGCTTTAGAATTAGTTAAATTTTACTATTTGTTAGTAAAAGTTACTAATAATTAGTAAAATTTAGTAAATTAGTAACAGTTACTAATAATTAGTAAAATTTAGTGAATTAGTAAAAGTTACTAACAATTAGTAAAATTTAACTAATTCTAAAGCAAAAAAAAAAAACTAATTTAAATTAGTAAACATTTTTACTAATTCAGATTTAGAGAGTATTATTTTTTTATTTTTATTTTAGAAAGAGTAGAAATTATAATTTATTAATTAAAATTTAATTTTATTATTAAAAAAAAATAATTTATAATTTTATTTTCGCATAAAATAATTATTTACCAAAAAAAAAAAATTTTTTTTTTTGCCTGTTTCAGCACCAAACAGTCCATTGCATCTTAGTAATAGGGCCCATGCCTTATTTTTGCTGAATAGGCCACAAGCTTCTCTCACCGATGCTGATCATGCTGTTCGTTTAAGACCAGACTGGGGCAAGGTTGGCATTTCATTTTACTAAATATATATCGCGAAATACATTAAAAAAAAAAAAGAATTCTCTATTTTTTTCTTGGATAAAAAAAAAAAATAATGAAGACAATTTTTTTTTTTTCATTTTTCTATTATAGGGGCATTATAGACGTGGATTAGCATTATCAGCGTTAGGAAGGCATGAAGAAGCTATTTTTGCTCTTTGTACAAGTGTAGCCATTGACAAAAATTCTCAAAATGTTCGTCATGAACTCACAAGGGTATGTATGTTTTTTTTTTTTTTCTATTATTATTTAAGTTTAATTTTTTATAATTTCATAAACTTTGCAAAAAAAATTACGTAACGAGATGTTTGTGAAATAAAAAAAATTATCTATGCAATGACAACAATTTACGTCTATGAAACCTTACGCAAGGTTTTTTTTTAATTCACCTTAATAGTGTTATCATCTAGATTCTATTGTTACCTAATATATGTCTTTTATATTATTTATTTAATCATTAGTCTTTATTATTAACTAGACACATTAATAAAAATTTTATTTCTTGACACAATTTTTTTCTACTGTGACAATTATTTATTTTTTCTAATTAAAATTATTATTATTATTATTATTATTATTATTATTATTATTATTATTATTATTATTATTATTATTACTATTATTATTATCATTATTTTTATTATTATTATTATCATTATTTTTATTATTATTATTATTATTATATTTAATTAATATTTGCATTATTAACTAATTTTATTATTATCACTATTTTTGAATTTTGTAAATTATTCATTAAAAAAAATTTTTTTTTTCTTTTCTTTTATATTTCAGGCGTTACATCGAGCACTGTCGCCAAATCTTCGAAGAAATAATAACGCTTTTATTTTAACTCCATACAATTTAGTGGAGACCACTATTCGCACAAAAAGAAATCGTCATCATTTGCTGTTGCCTTTAATGAATTCACATCAAAGGCATCGAAGAGCAACGCTTAATACCTCAGATTGTGAAGACAATAGCAGTGGAGGAGAGGAAGAATTTACACAGGTAGATTTTTTTAAGTGTAATTAAAAACGGATTTGAGAGCTTTTCCGTTTTTTTTTTTTTTTTAAACGTTGATAATTAATTACTTTTGAAAAATGAAATTGCATATATTCGATACATTGCATATTATCCTAAAATAAGAATAATTTCCTTATAAAGATTTTCCTTATTAACACAATTTTATATTTCCACTTTAAATTCTATTCAATTTTTGTTTTTTTTTTTAATTTCTTATTTAAAAATTAAAAAATTTTAATTATATATTAATAAAAATAAAAAATTGTTGCAATGCTATTATTTAAAATGCAATTTTGCCTTATTTTAATCTTTGTCATGAAAATTAATAGCGCTGCTTATCTTATTTTAATATAACTGAAAAGATTATAATTAAACCAAATAATAAAATTTAATTTAAAAAACAAATGATAAAAAAATAATTTGATTTATTTAAAAAAAAAAATATTTCTTTGATTGAAATAATCCGTTATTTGACTAAATAAATGTTTATTTCAACCAAATATTACATATGAGCATAATATACTGTTTTTAAAGGAAAAGAAAAAAAAAATATTTCTTTAAATACAGTTTATTTTGATGTATACTGCTACAATTTTTTTTTTCTATTTTAATAGAACAATGAAGTCTTGAAGAAATTAAGTTTTTTGAATTCATCAAATGGTATGTGAAATAGAAGCCAAATTTTCTCCGTGGAAGTAATAATCCAAATAATTTGAAGGATGAAATTATTTTTCTCTTCTTTTGGGAAAATATTTTTAAAAAAAAATAATCCCATTTTCTAAATTATTTTTATTATATAATACGCGAAATCATTTTTCCGATTAATTCTATATATAAACATTGCGTGAAATCTGGAGAATTGACGGTAAATTACAAAAATTAGTAATTTCAATATAATTGATTATTAATAATATGGTTTTCTCAAATAATATTAATTTAATATTTGATGTTAACCAAGGAATAATTCGTTTTCATATATATGAGATTCCCCTACCGAGCCACAACTGAAATTACATATATATTCAACAACCAGAGCGATAAGTTTAATTTTATTTATATAAATGTTAATAATTGTCGTATTCGTTTTCAATTTAGAATTTAAAAAAAAAATATTATTCAATTTTTTTTTTTTAAGTATTTATAAATAAATCAATTTCAATTCAATATATAATATTTTATATTATTAAAAAGCAAATTTGTATTATTTATTTTGAGCTGTAAAAATTCAAAAATACCAATAAAAAAATTTTATTCCTAAAAATTGTATAACCTTACACTTTTCAATAGATATCTACTTTATGGAACCTTAATTAATTAATTTCATCCAAATTTTGGAAAATTTAGTTTGCTAAAAAAAAAATTACTAATTACTAATTTTTAATGAAATATTCGTGAAGGTTTTCAGTTGCTAAATTTATTGGAAATTACAATAAAAACCATTCCTTTCATTCCGTGTATTGATTCAAATTAGAGATTAAAATCAAAATCATAAAATTGATTATCGATCAATTATTTATGTGAGAAAAATCGATTGTAATCGATTAAAAATCGAATTTAAGACTACTTTTAACCAAAGGAATATATTATTAATCAAATACGACTAATCGATTATTAAAAACTATTCGATTATCGTGTGAAATCAATTTCAATTTTACCATTTTTAATTTAAATTTAATAAATACATATGGAATTGTTTATAGGCATTTTTGGGTAACTTTAAGTTCAAAACGACAATTTGTAAAAAAGAAAAAATTTTAATTTATAATTGATCGTATTTAATATTGCATGTGAATGAATAAGTTTTGATTTTTATGTTTGTAAATGTTATTAGTCCTCGCAATTTTAACGATTTATTTATTTTGTAATTTTTTTTTTTTTTTATTTATTTTCTTTCTTAACTTTAATAAATTGTTAATTATATTAAAATGTTTTATTATATTCAATTTTTAAATATAAAATCAAATATAGTTTTTTCCCTTAACTTATATATTATAAAAATTAAACAAACATACATTACAGGATTTATATGTAATTATATTACATATATAAACTGAAGCTATTATAAATTAAGACTCATAAAATAATCTTCAACATTTAGAGAAAAAAAAATTCATTTAAAATAACCAAATTCTAGTTTCTAATCAAATAATACAAAAAATTAACATACTAATTTTTAGGTCTGAAACTAGTACCAAAAACAAAGTTTTCCTTATTTTGAAACAAATTATATTAATTTTTTAAAATAAAAATTCTTTCACTGATTTTTTTTTTTAAAGACAAATCTGCAAAAAATCTAAAAATTATACATAATTTAGTCAAAAAAAAAAAAAAATTATGTCAAAATTTTCCACCTGAAAAAGAATATAATCATCATATCAAAATGATTTTAAAAAATATTTTTTTTTTTAACTTAAAATTAAATTTATGTATAATTTAAAATCAATAAAAATTTATGTTTAAATTGAATATATTATTCACGTTGAATCAAACAAAAAATATATACACAGAAAATTAAAAGGCATTAAAATCAGCTGCAACGCTTCTTATTTTAATCCAATTTTGTTTATTTTAATCCTTTTTGATATTAAAATAAGCAAAATTGTATTAAAATAATAAGCTTATTTTAATGCCTTTTAATTTTCTGTGTATGTTTGAAACAAATTTAAATATATTTAACTGTATAAAATAAGTTTTAATTATAAACATAATATATTGCAAAAATATCCTTCTCTAAGTGAATTATATTTATATTATTTATATACTTATAAATTTTTTTATTATTAAAAAAAAAAACATATATACAAAATATCGCAAAATGTAAGATATTAAAAAATAAGTTGCAAAACGCTCTTATTTTAATTCAATTTTGATATTAAATTAATTTCAAAATTTTCTATGCGATATATATAGTAAAATTATATATTTGAAAAAAAAAATTATATATAAATTATATGTAAATAAAGGACATTAAAAAAAAAGTGCATTTTCTTTGTGAAATATTATATTTATATGATTAGAAAATTAAAATTAAATATTATATTTTTATATTTTCATTATCGCTAAATGTCCCATGAAATTTTTACAGATTATCTGTCGAACGCCATTATCAAATATGATGCCACAGGATAGTGCCAAATTGCATGCATCCATAAACAGGGTATATCAGGAAATTGAAAAATTAAAAAGTAAGTCAAATTTTAGCTGAAAATTAAATAACTCGTAGGCTTATTGGGTAAGTGTACCAACTACGGCGTGTGCATCAATTACGGCGCGTTCATAAAAAATAACTATTATTATATATAATTGTTGCAAAATGATTTTAAAAAATTATTTTAATCTTTTTTTATTTGATACAATTACTAATAAAGATGAACATTTAAACAATTATTAATTTAATTATTTTAAGATGAAATTTTTTCCCTCGAAACATTTTTAAGATTTCCATTGGCTTCAATTACGGCTGGCAAAGTATTCTCTAAATCTGAAATAGTAAAAATGTTTACTAATTTAAATTAGTTTTTTGTTTTTGCTTTAGAATTAGTTAAATTTTACTAATTGTTAGTAAAAGTTACTAATAATTAATAAAAGTTCTATTTCAAAGGTATTTTGACACGAATCGCGCCGTTATTTGTACATTTAACCTATACCGAATTTTTGTTTGACAGAATTTTTATTTTATATAGTCATTATCAGATTTACAAGACTTTTTATTTAATTTAACATATATAAAAAAAATCTAATTCGAAAATTTGTTTAGAAAATAATTATTTATGATTAAATACTAAATAGACTAATAAATTCATAATAATAATAATAAAGAAAAAAAAACGTTAAAGTAACGAAATTACACGATTTTTAGGAATGGAATTAAGACCCGCGGAAATTCTTCTACCTCCTTTATCTAGTGGAACAACCGGTGAATTGGACTGCATTCTTTGCTGCAGACTATTATGGAATCCTGTCACAACACCATGTGGACACACATATTGTTGGATGTGTTTAGATCGTTGTCTAGATTATTCTTCCTCTTGCCCCCTTTGCGTCACTTCTCTTTCTGACGTAAGTATAACAATCTTTTTGTCCCTAAAATTATTATTTACTTTTTTTTAAAATATCCTTTAGTATCGTCTTCTTCTTCTTTTTTTTGGGGGGGGGGGGGTGGCGCATGATTATATTCTAAAAATCATTAGTCAGAATTTATATTTTATCGAATTTCATATTTGTAATAATTAGTTTTGAGTCGAATTTTCATTTTTTCGAATTAATATTTTTGCATAATTTTCATCAAACCGATTTTCTTTATTACAGAATTTTTATATAACCAAAAATTAACTTCGCAGAATTTTTATTTGTTTTAATTTTTATTTGCTTGAATTTTCATTTAAAATAATAGGCATTTTAAAGAATATTTATTGGGTAGAATTTCATTGCATAGAATTTTCATATAGGTTCTTTTAGATGAATTTTCAATTTGTTCGAATTATTATTTGAGATAATTTTCATAAAACCGAATTTTTCATACTACAGAATTTTTACTTAACCGAAAAATCATATTTAATAGAATTTCTAATTGATAGAATTTTCATTTGTCCGAATTGGCAAAATGGTCGAATAAAATACGATAGGCGCAATTTTTAAAATCAACCAATCAAAAATTATCCATAAAATTGTGATTGGTTTATTTTAAAAATCGCGCCTGTCGTCTGTTGGTTCGGCCATTTTGCAAATTCGGACAAATAAAAATTCTATCAATTAGAAATTCTATTAAATATGATTTTTCGGTTAAATAAAAATTCTAATGTAATATAAAAAAATTCGGTTTTATGAAAATTATCTCAAATAATAATTCGAAAAAATGAAAATTCATCTGAAAGAATAAAATATGAAAATTCTATCCAATAAAAATTCTTTAAAATGCCTATTATTTTAAATGAAAATTCGAGCAAATAAAACTTCTAACAAATAAAAATTTTGCGAAGTGAATTTTCAGTTATATAAAAATTCTGTAATAGAGAAAATCGGTTTGATGAATATTATGCAAAAATATTAATTCGAACAAATAAAAATTCGACTCAAAACTAATTATGACAAATGAAATTCGATAAAATGTAAATTATGACTAATGATTTTTAGAACATAACCATGCGGTTTTCTTTAGGACGTCAAGAACACTATTTTTTAATAACATTTTATAAATAAATAATATAAAAATCTATTAAATATGAAATTTTTTTCAAAATAAAAATTATATTTAGAAACTACAATTTTAAGACGAGAAAAACCCCCTTCTTTTTTTTTAATTGGTGAACAGGAACTCGAGAAAAAATTTTTTTTGAAATAAGACTGCAAAAAATTTCAATTGTTTATAACTTTAACAAAAAAAAAAATTTTTTTTGACCTAAAAATTTCAGGGACTTATTTTTACCATGTAAGAAGTCAAAAGAAATGATTTTTGATTAAAAAAAAAAAAATTTCTGAATTTTAGGTGATCCGTTTGAGAAATTCTGATCCAATTACAAAACATTTTGCAATTTTTTTTTTTTATTGTTTTCAGATATATGCAATAAAGCAAAAAAAATTTTTTAAACAATCAAACTAAAAATAAATAAAATTTATTTATTAAAATTAAAAAACAACTTTTATTTTCTTAAAAAAGTTTTTCAAAAATTTATTTTAAATAATTAAAGTGAATAATAAAATAATTAAATAGCTAATTGTATAATTATATTACATTATAATTATTTTATAAACATTTTTATTTTTACTTAATTGTTTTTATATATATTATAAAAACTTTGGTTTTATAATAAATATATTTTTATGTTTATTTTTTGATTTTTTAAAATAATAATTTGCAATATATATTATACTTAATAGGGATTAAAAAAACTCTTTTTTTTTGATTTTATATATAATAAAATATTAATTAGTTAGTTACACATTTTTTCCTAAAAAAAAAAAAAAAAAAAATTATTACCTGGAGCAGAGATTTCACTATTGCAGTGAAACTGATCTCTGTAGCTTTCTTTTCGGGACGCATGATTATGTTCTAAAAATCATTAGTCATAATTTACATTTTATCGAATTTTATTTGTCCTAATTAGTTTTGAGCCGAATTTTAATTTGTTCGAAATAGCATTTGGCATAATTTTCATCAATCCGATTTTCTATATGGCAAGAATTTTTATATAACGGAAAATTCAACTCACAGAATTTTTATTTCTTCGAATTTTTTTATTTGTCAGAATTTTTATTTGCTCGAATTTTCATGTTTAACATAATCGGCATTTTAAAGAATTTTTATTTGGATAGAATTTCATTGAATAGAATTTTCATTTAGATGAATTTTCATTTATTCGAATTATTATTTGATATAATTTCCATATAATCGATTTTTCATATAGAATTTTTACTTAACCGACAAATCATTTAATAGAATTTTGTAATGTGATAGAATTTTCATTTGTCCGAATTTTCAAATGGCCGAACAAACAATTGACAGAATGATTTCGGCGCAATTTTTAAAATCAATTCCCAAGAAGCACGTCATATAACCTTAATATCAAGGTAATATTACATGTAAGATTCGTAATATAACGTTGTAATATTACAGTAATCTTACAGTGATCTTAAAATGTCCGCCTCAAGGTAATATTACCGGTAATGTTACTGTAATATTACGCGCTAATATTAAGGTAATATTACGAGAGAATATTACAGTAATATTATGGGAACATTTCTTTACGAAAAAAATCTACCCATCCAGGGAATCGAACCCCGAACTCAAAGCACACGAGTCCAGAGTTTTACCAACAAGCCAAATTCACTTATAGTATATTTACGTTTTTTATGCTTTATGAATAACTCAAATCAGTCTGTAATATTACTGTAATATTACCGTTAATATTACAGTAATATTCCCGGTAATATTACCTTGAGGCGGACATTTTAAAAACACTGTAACATTACTGTAATATTACAGCGTTATATTACGATTCTTACATGTAATATTACCTTGATATTGAGGATATATTACGTGCTTCTTGGGAACCAATCAAAAATTATTCATAAAATTGTGATTGATTGATTTTAAAAATCGCGCTGAAATATTAAATTTTTGATTTGGGTTTATATTAAAGTGCAGGATTCGTTATTTAGGTCAGTTGTGTTTTTTAAGCTTCAATTGCAATCAATTCATGGCCCTTTTTCTTTGACATTCCAGTATCTGGCTAGTAGCCAAAAGACTGTAACTGACTTTGTGGAGAGAGCTTTGAAGATAGTGGCGCCAAAGGAATTTACTTCGAGGGCGTCGAGTCATCGACACGAGCTAGTTCAAGGCCTCGGTCTTCTTGGTTGTGAAGAGATAGCCGTTTTTATTTGCACAACATCATTCCCATGCGTTGCATGTCCCCTTTTTGTATATGAACCGAGATACAGACTGATGGTGAGACGATGCGTCGAAAGTGGTGTTCGACAATTTGGCATTGCGGCGTGCCTCAATAGAGATGCAACTGGTGCCAAAAGGTATAGAAACTAGAAAAAAAAAAAAAAAATTTCAAAATTATTAAATTGTAAAATTTTTTTTTCCAGATACGCTGAATTTGGGACCATGTTAGAAATTCGAGATCGTGTTTTATTAAAAGATGGATGCAGTATTTTAAGTACAATTGGAGGTAAAAGATTTAGAGTGTTGTCAGGTGGGGAAAAAGATGGTTATGATACAGCACAAGTGGAATTTATTAGAGACACGCCCGTTCAGCCTAATCAAGTGATCAATATTTTGGAACTTCACGATAAGGTAATTTTCAAAATTTTTTTAAATTCTCTTATTTTAGTTTCTAATTGTTTTTTTTTCACAGGTTCAATCGAAAAGCAGAAGATGGTGGGACACGGTGCCATTGAATCAACAATCAGAAATTCAACGTGTTTTTGGAAGAATGCCAGAAACAGAAGAAGATTGGCTGTGCTTAGCAGATGGACCCTCATGGACATGGTGGTTATTGGCCATTTTACCATTGGGACCTCAATTACAAATTGGAATTCTTGGTACCACGAGCCTTGAAAAACGATTGAGGGCCATTGAAAAAACTCTCGATCATATGGAACAGAGACAATTTACAGTAACATCTGCAACATCTGAAGAAACAACAACTTCAACAAGTATATGTAGAGATGACGATGTCATTAATCAAAATTCCGTTTCACTGGTTCAACAATCCTAGAATTTGGCCTATAAATCAAAAATTTAAATTTCTATCTCAAAGTCTGATCAATCTTTTTTTTTTATATATATATAAATGCACACATTTCTTCTCTGTCTTTTCTTCTTCGCTATTAAAAAACAGCCTTTCGCCGCAATAATCTATTTTCAAAGTACAAATTTGAATCAACTATTTTCAATATCAAATTATTGGGAAAATAAAATGAATGAATTTTTTTTAATATAAAAATTAAATCGATTATGCACAATTGATTCTTAATTAGAATCTTAATAATTAAAAAATCTCGATTTCTCCGATTGTTAAGAAATGATTAATGTTAATTAATGCAATATAATCAACGCTCAATTAATTGAATTTTTAATCGTTCATCCTTTGTGTATATAAATTTCACAAAAATATTCGACTATTTTTCTCAATAATTTGAAAAATTATCTCTATCCTATTTGAATGACAAATATATATATATATATGTGTATATGAAATCCATGGGGAGCAAATCATTTACTACATTCTATGTGTGAAAAAAAAAAAAAAAATATCGTAATTGTATGAAAGTTTTTTATTACTCGAATTTTCTCAACAAATATTCGACGAACACTTGAGAAAATATTTTAGAATGTCTGAATTTTTAAAAATGCAGCGCAAATAATTCATCATTTTTTTTTTTTTTATAACTCTCACAAATAATAATTAAGGCGTCACTTGATAAGACTACTCGCTATGCTAGCAAATAGTAATTTATTTTCATATCTAAAAAAAAAGAATCATCACAATCTTATTGAATATTTTTAAAATTTCGTTTGATATTTATAAGGTTTTCCTAATTACCGATAAATAAATTTTCGAATTAACACAAATACATATTGTGGAGAATAATTCGAGAAAAAGAATTTTCAATTTTTCAAATTCAAAAAGATTTAAATCTATGTTTAAAAATATATATGAAAAATCATTGTGATATATATTTATTATATGTTATACATTACTGTTTGCTGTAATTTCTCAAGTATTTTGTTTAATTCAAAAAAAAATTAGTTTAACTTTTACGTAAAATCAATTGAATTTAAAAAAAAAAAAAACAAAATACTTCCTTGAGAAAATATTTGTTATTGAAATGTTTAATATTCTGAATATAAATACAATGTGAATTACATATTGTGAATTTCAAACAAAAATTTAATTGGCAAAAAAAATTGTATGTTTATGTAAAATATAAATTCAATATATGAATTATATTAACAACTTGTAAACTCGAAAAAAATTTAAGTTGACAAAAAAAAAAAAGGAATGTTAAATAATTTTATTTACAGTGAAATGAAAATTTTAATATTGACAAAATTGTTGGATTTCTTGTCATTTATTCATTTAAAGGGAGCTTTCAATTTTTACTCTATTTGTTTTTTAAATTATCTATGAAAAAAAAAGTATTGAAAAAAAGGGATCAATTTTTTAGACACTTTTATTTATTGTAGATAGATATGTCAGAAATAAATAAGTGATCAAACAATTTTGAGCAGTAATACATATCAAGTAAAATTTTTTAAAAATATTCAAAGTAGTAAATCTCTAGAAACTTCATATCAATCATTCAAACATACAGTTTAGTATGTACAAAAGATGAGACAAAACTAGTTATACACAATTTGCATATATATTATTTATTTACTATTTGTTGTTATTATAACGACATGAACTATATATATATATATAATATAAATATGGCTTTTTACCATATATTATATACTAATGTCGATAAAAAAAAAAAAATACACAATTGTTGTATTTCACCAATTTTTTTTTTTTTTTTATACTCAAGAAGAAACCTTTCCATGTTTTTCAAACTTGACGTACGCTTTAAAAAAAAAAAAGCAAAGGAATGAAACAAGAATGACTATAATTTTTTTTTTCCAGGGTTGTCTATTCGTCGTGATAAAAGAAAATATATATGTAGTTTTTGACGTGTGATTCAAGAATTAGATCTCAATTGAGAAGAATATGAAGACTTTTATTAATTACGAAAAAAAGAAAAGAAATGAAAATAATTATAAGGATAATATGAATTTTTATTATATTTCTTTAAATTTTCTCTCTCAATGGAGATTAATTCTCTTTTAAATGAAAATACCATATTTTTCGATAATTAGCTTGATTAGAAGATTTAAAAAAAAAAAAAAAAAAAAAAAAGAAAACAATTTTTTATCTAAATATGTGATTGTGAATGTGAGAAGTTGGTATGTTTAGACAACTCTTTTTTGGATGTGTCGATTCTCAAACACTTTTAAGAACTTATATAAATCATGCATTGTGATATTACTGTGTAGCTTACTTTGTATAATATTGATTACTATTACTGTATAAGATGCCATTTGACTTTCCATTTCTACTTCGATATTTATCTCCACTTCCTCATATCTAATTATTGTAATAAAATTTACGAAAAATTAAAAAAAATTTGTCTAATTTTTCATTTCATAATAAATTTTTAATATTGAAAAAAAATTAAAAAAAAAAATACTTAATTTTCTCGAAAAATTGTTAGACAAAAATTATCTAACAAACTTCATATTAATTGAATCCTAAATTTGCTTTTTTGTTTTATATTTACAAAAATTGTATCTGAAAAATAATAAACAATTTTTTATTATGAATAATAAAGTCGAATATTTAGAAAAATATTCAGTTGCACCATCTCCAAATCGAGATTATTATGGCATTAAAGTTCATTGTGATGAGGTATTAAAATAAATAAAAAATTTAACCTTTATTTTAATAAACTACAAAGTAAATAAAAAATAATTTTAAAAAAGTTCATTTACAATTAGTGTGTGTTATAAAATTTTTTATTTATAAAAGTCTATTAATTTATTTATCTAGATAATACTTTTTTTATGGAAAATATCACACGGCCCTCATAGAACACCAGCTATACGAGTTTCAAAATTTTCTGAATTTAATAGTGATAAAATTTTACAAGACGAAATAGAACGTATTTTTGGTACTTGATTTTTAAATACTATTTTTTTTTATTAATTATTAATTAATAATTACATTAATAATTATTAATTCAATTGAAATTTAATATTTTTAATGATAAAAAAACAAATTAGGTAATTATTTGCTGGAACATGTGAGAAATATATCACAAAAGACATTGTCTCTTTTAACATTGCCAAAATATATTATTGCAAGAGTAACAAAATATTTGAAAATTAAGGACATTCTTAATTTATCAACACTGTCACATGCTTCCAAAGAGGTATTATAATAAATTAATTTTGATAAAAAAAATTTAACAATAAGAATTTTGTAAAAAAAAAAAAAATAATAAAACTAGGTATTTGATTCCGAAATTATTTGGGAATTGATGTACAAGAAGTTCATCAAAAGTTCAAAAAATAATGTACAAGTTAAAAAATTGTCTATGTCTTCAAATTGGAAACAATTATTAAAAGAAAAACAATTGGAAGAATCAGTTAAAAATCGAATGGTACCTTTTTTTAAATAAATTGATTCATAAAAAGAGTATTTTTTTTTTTGTTAAAAAAAATTTTTTTTTTATTCCAGTCTTGTGCAAAAAATTTGACAAATCAAATAAAAATAGATGAAAAATTGCTAAAAAAATCATCCCTAAATACTGTGGCTAATTTTGAAAAGAAAATTTCTTTGAAATTAGATTCAGATATAAAACTCAATTCAACAATAATTGTTGATGAAACAAAAAAGAAAATTCTTTCTAATCAAATTCAAATGATTTCCAAGGGAAAGGATAGTAAATTAAATCGATCTCAATTTATTGATAAAAATAAAATTTTAGAAAAGAAACAAAAAACTAATTTGAAAATAAAATCAATTGAAAATATTAATTCTAAAACAAATATTATAAATCAAAAATTAAAATCAAATCAAAGCGATGAAAAATTAGATAACAAAAAATTGATTCTAAATTCAAAATATAGAAAGGAGAAACAAAAAATTATTAGTGAAAGTAAATTGAAGATATATACTGACGATAATTTATTTGAATTTAATAATGATAATTTTAGTTCTCTAATTAAAGAGAATCTTCAAAAAATGAAAAGTCCAAGGGGTATATTTAATTACGATTTTAGTGTCTTATGACAAAAAATCATACGGAGATTTGAAAAATTTATCTTCTAAATCTGACATATTGAAAATTTACTAAAATGATATTGGAAAAATTGAAAAAAATTCAAACAACGAAGACATGGACAACTTGAGTCAAAAATATTTAAAATCACAATTTATAAAAAGTATAAACAAAAGTTTCCAATTTTCCTTTCTTTAAATCGAAATATTTTCAAAATAATTCTCCATTAGGTAAAAAAAAAATACCAAAAATCCATTTATTTCGTGAAGATCTAGGGAAATTTAGAGCATCAAATTTGGTAAGCCAAAATAATGAAGAGGAAAATCTAAATTTTCTTTTGCCAATTATTTCAAAATTCCGAGGTGTAATTAAAATTTTAATAAATTTGTAATTTTTTAATTGTAAAATTCGTGAAAATTTTGTAATAATTTTTTTTTTTTTTGTGAAAATTGTAAAATTTATTTATTTTTTTTTTATTAGAAAAATGAGAAAAATATTACTAGAAACCGTGTCTAGTAACTTTTAGATATAATATGTTTGTAACAATGAATAGAAAAGTATTTTAGCGCTGCAGTACCGTTCGCGAGTCTATAACTGCAAACAAATCCTTTCTCAAGTTGTAACATATCGAAATGCATTTCTCAATAAATATTGTGTTAGATTTTAAATAATTTTTAAAAATTATCAAAAAAAAAAATGTTTCTTTCAAAATCAAAAAAAGAAAAATAATAATTAAAAAATTAAATGTGAAGAAAGAAATTTTTTTTTTTTCTAATTTAACGCAATTCGTTTCTCTCGTATATATAATTGAATGCATACACACGGACAATAATTGATCGGCGAACGTGAATGTAATCTGAGTGTGCGCATTTCATAGAAAAGTATAACGTGCAATGGCGAACTACGGACATAGTGAAACTAATGCTCGTCAATCCGAGTAAGTAGAATTTTTGCAAAAAAAAAAAAAAGAAAATGCAAATTATAAAAAGCGGTACTAAATTTAAATAATTTTTTTTTTTTTTTAATATTGTATTTTTAACATTTTGTATAAAATTTCAAATTATATTTGCTTTTAATGTGTAACGTTTAATAACAAAAAATCAACGTTTTATATTATTATAATTAATGCGTACATAGTAAAAGAAAAATTATTAAATTTTAAACAAATTTGAATTTTTTATTTTAAAAAAAATTTGAAATTTCAATTTTTGAAACATTATCTATTTTCAGTGAAGCGATTGATGATGATAATGATGAAAAAGATGATACAAAAAGGTATTTAAAAACAATTTCAAAAAAAAAAAAAACTTTTATAGATCATTTATCATTAAAAAAGTCATTTAACATTTTTTTGAAAATGTATATTTTCAACATAAAACAAACAATTTCAAATTGTTAAAATTTCAGAAAATCTCGTAATCTAAGTGAAAAAAAGAGGAGGGATCAATTTAATATGTTAGTAAATGAACTTGGTAGTATGGTAAATACACATACAAGAAAAATGGATAAATCCACTGTTCTAAAATCAACAATACTTTTTTTAAAAAATCACAATGGTCAGTTGTTTTTTATTTTCTTTATTTATTCTTATTGTTTAAAATTTTTTTTTAATTTCTAAATTTTTATCTTTAGAAAAAGCAACTAAATCAAGAATACATGAGATACAGGAAGATTGGAAACCATCATTTTTATCAAATGAAGAATTCACTCATTTAATTTTAGAGGTGAAAATTAAATTTTATGAAAATATTTTTTTTTTTAAATTTTATTTTAAATTTAAATGAGAAAAATTGAGGGTAAATTAAAATTTTTTTTTTCTTTTAGGCATTAGATGGATTTATAATAGTATTTTCATCAAATGGACGAATTTATTATACATCGGAGAGTGTAACTTCACTTCTTGGTTATTTACCTAATGAATTAACAAGTTCAACTATTTATGAAATCGCCTATCAAGATGATCAATCTTATCTTTATAATTTGTTACTTAATCCTGAAAATTTGAGAGATCAACGAAATAATAAAAAAGGTACAAACTATTCGTAAAAAAAAGGTAAAACAGAAAGAAAATATAGAAATAATTATAAATTATTTATATAATAATAATAATAATAATAATAATAGAAATTTTTATTTACAGATAATCAAATATCATTTACGTGCCATATAAAAAGAGGTGGTTTGGATAATGTAGGTGATTCAATATATGAACTTGTACAATTCATTGGATATTTTCGTTAGTAATTTGATTTATTTTTTAATAAAAATGAAAAAATTAAAAAATAAGTACAATAATTAATAATTTCAATTTCTAAAGGTTCAGATATGGATCCCGATATTGATACAATAATTCCAACAAATCGCCTCGGTAGCAGTACAGGAAGTGATGCAAAAACAGAATCGTAATTAATTTTAAATTTTATTATCAAATTATTGAGAAAAAAAAAAACAAAAAAATTTTTTAATTTTGTTTTTGCAAATTAATTTTAGATTAGTATTTGTTGGCACTGGAAGACTTCAAACACCTCAATCAATTCGTGAAATGTCAGTTGTTGACAGTACAAAATCTGAATTCACCTCGCGACACAGTTTGGAGTGGAAATTTTTATTTTTAGATCACAGAGCACCTCCAATTATTGGCTATTTACCATTCGAAGTTCTAGGCACTTCTGGTTATGACTATTATCATATTGATGATTTGGATAAAGTTGTCACTTGTCATGAATCATGTAATTTTTTTTTTATTTTATTTATTTCAAACAAATTAAATTCAATTGATAAAAAATTAAAAAAAACTCTAACAAAAAAAGGAACAAAAGAATATAAATTCTTTTTTTTTTTTTTTAGTGATGCAAAAAGGAGAAGGTACCTCGTGCCATTATAGATTTTTAACGAAAGGCCAACAATGGATTTGGTTGCAAACCAGATTTTACATAACTTACAATCAATGGAATTCAAAGCCCGAATTTATCGTTTGCACACATCGTGTTCTTAGTTATGTTGATGTTTTAAAAAATACCCGAAAAAATACCGATGATCAAGCAAAAGTTCAAAATCAAAATGATATTTTGTCAGCAAAACATCATGTAATGTATTCTTTTTTTTTATAAATTGTTTATATAAATTATTTATAAAAAATTGCTAATATAAATTTATTATCAATATTATTTTTAAATAAAAAAAAATTTTTTTTTTGATTTTAGTCTTCATGTCAAATTCGATCATCCTCGTGGTCTTCGAAGCAAAATAAAAGTTCAAAATCATTTTCAAAACCATTTAAACCACGATATCAAGAGCGAGGATCAGATACAACGTCAATTTCCGGTGGTTCTCAATACTCACAAGCGAATACAAAACATTCTTATGCGGCGAGTCAAGGATCAAAATCGAAAATTGTCCCAGCAACAAGTACAGCGTCATCAATAACGATTCCAACGACAGTGATCATGGATCAGCCATTAGAGTCAAAAATAGAAGAATCTTGTATCAATTTTTTGGAACCTACTCAATATACAACAGTGCCAATACAATCAATAGTTACCGGTAGCTGTGGTCCACCATCTGTTCCACTCAATTCACCATTACCAACATCTGAAGTATTAATTAAAATTAATTAAAATTAATTAAAATTATAATCATTCAAATTAATTTTTAATTAACAAAATATAAACATATTTTTTGAATACAAATTTTTTTTTACAGATTTTACAACAGGGAATAGTGATGACACCAGCGCAGAATCACATTCAAGATGAATTGCAACGAAAACACGAAGAGCTTCAACAATTAATTGTTTATCAACAAGAGGAACTTAGAAAAGTTTCTGAAAAGTTACTTATTGCTAAATATGGAATTTTTTCGCCAATTATAAACGTAAGTTTATTCATATTATAATATAATATTATTGATTATTGAAAAAAACTTTATGTCTGGCTAAAACTTTCTTTTACTACTGATACAAAAAAAAAATAAGTAAAACTGTCTGACTGCAAAACACTTTTACTACTGAAAACAAAAATTTCACGAAATTTTAAATCGTTTCAAAAAAAAATTTATTGAATTTAAAATTGAAAATTGAAAATAATAATTGTGTCTGACTATACCCAATCAAAAATTTACTAATGGCGCAGCACTGGCGCAGTACTGGCATCCATTTCTTTCTTCAATACAAAATTAATTAATTTCCGTAATTAAATTTTTATAATTTTAATTTTATAATATTTTAATTTTTGCACGTGAAAAATTTTATTTTCAATAATTATATTTTCATAATTATAAAATTGTATAATAATTTCATTACAGAGTCTCTAATAATTATATTTTTATAATTATTTGAGAAAAAAAATTTTATAATAAATTTCTTATAATAAATTATCTATAATCACGAAAATATTATACAAAAAACATTATACTGAAAACATTTCAGCTTTAATATTATTTTCTTATAAGAAATTTTCATAAGGGATTTCTATTAAGAAAAGTTAATTATATATTTTATATTATTGATAATATATAACATTTGTGCAAATTTAACTTGCGATTGTATTTAATTTTTTAAATTAAATTTTTTATTATAAATTTTATTTTAAAAAATATTAATTTTTTATAAACAAATTTATTTATTTTTAGTTTGATCGTTTAAAATATTTATAAATATTTATTTGATAATAACCAAATACATAGGTATTTGAATTAAATAAATTTTTTTTTTCAGTGCAGTACTGGTTCAGTACAGACTGCCCAACCTCGGCAGCCAATATTGAACCAGTACTGCGCCAGTAGTCAACTCTGGTATAATACTGAAATTTTTGGTTTGGATAAAATTGACTTTTTTCACTGAAATCAAAAAAATGATGAAAAATTAAATATATTTTTTCTTACCCTAACTATGACTTCTTCTATAATAATTTTAATTATTAATTATTAATTAATAATTTAATTAATTTTAAAATAAATTGCACTTTAAATTTTTTTTTTGTTAGGTAAACATACCATATGATCCAAATGTGAATCAACCTCTGTCGCGTGTTATAAGCGGTGAACCAATTGTTCAAAGAGAATTATTTAATCAACAAGTAACTGGAAATCCTGTATCAAGAGATTCAACGACAAGTGATCCAAATAATATGGGTCAATTATTGTCTCAAGCTCAAGGACATCCGCAATTACATCAAATGCAAGCTGCTCATCAACAAATACCTCAACAGTCGGCTTCTCATTCACAAATTGAAGAAAATCAAGATCTAATGTCTTATCAATTTTGTCAATCAAATGAACTTATTTACACTGACATGAGTTCGAGTGTCAATCAACAACAAAGTTCCACATGACATTAATCAAATTTTTTTTTTTTTTTTTAGTTATTTCTCGCCTTTAATTTTAATTCGCAATATTTAATTAATTCGAAGAAAATGAATATAATGGCCTATAAATTTGATTCTTTTTCTAAAAGTATAAATATTTTACTTTTTTCCTTTCTGTAGTAAATTATTTTTTCATTCCAAAAAAAAAAATACTATAAACTAATTTATAAATTGCGAATATTTCCTATAACTATGTTATCCAATGAAAGAGAACAAAAAAAAAAAAAATGTAGTAATGTTTTGTGTGTAGGGACCATTTTTTAAAAAAAAAGTGTGCTGTACAATCCTCAATTATTTTTATAAATATTTTCAATAATATGAAATTTTTAAATATTAAAAACTTTTTGAGAAATTAAAATCACAAATTTCATTGATGTTAAAAATGAATAATATATTCAAATCATCATTTTCCATTACATATTATATTTTAATGTATGTACAAAAATCTTAATTTTTCAATATATATAAGATAGCTATTTATGAGAGAGAGAATGCATCAACAGAAAATATATAGGCTGTGAATGAATGTATGTTGACAATTTAAAACAGTTACCTGTGTAAATCTTGAAGAAATGTATACAGACCAGAGGTTTATCATATAAAAAAAAAAGAGTAAAAAATTTTGAAAACATATTTTACTATCGTTTACAGTAAAAAAAAAAAATATTTTTTATAAATCTATTCTTTAATAATAAAAAATAATCTTTTAAACAATAAATTTGAAAAAAAAAAATTGTAAACCTCACGTCTCGCTAAATGTTGAAATGAAAGTGTTTAGTCGTAATAATTCAAAAAATGTATTCATTGTTTAGTTGTTTTTTCAGTTATTATATTTATACCAATTGTTAGATATTAGAATTTTATTTAATATTCCATTGAAGCTTCCATTTTTTCAAACAATAATTCGTTTTTTATTTAAATCAATTACAATGTAATATAATTATTCAAAAAAAAAACAATTTATATAAAACAAAGAATTTACTTTTCTAAATAAATTATAAAGAATTAGAATAAATTTTGCAAATGAGAAATGTACAAATTAAAAAAAGACAAAATTTTTAAATACTTCGTCATTAAAGAATGAAAAAAACAAAAATTGTTCAAAATAGATAAATTTGTGCATATAAATTCAAAACGTTTCGATTTTGTAAAAAATGAATTTCAACCAAAATTTTATAAAATATTACAATAAAAAAGTGATAAATAATATATATATATATATTAAAAGTTTTGAAAAAACTTAATCGGAAACAGGGTATTTTTTTAAAATTGTAAATTACTTATGTAATAAAATAATTTAAAATTAATAAATAATAAATTACCAATTAACAATTTATAATTAAAAATTAATTAATTTTGTTTAAGTAACATTAGAAAATCATTTTTATTATTGATGTGATAAATTATTCATTATTAAATCTTTAAGATAACATTGACGACAACATTTAATAAGAAAACAACAATTTTTTTTTCTGTCGTAAAAGAAATATATGATATATGTAATTTGTGTTTCTTCGTGGAAAATAAAAGTGACGAATGATCGCACTTATGTTTTTGTAATTGCCGTATTTTAATACAATCGCAAAAAAAAAAAAATAAATAAATTGGAAATATTTACAAAAATGAAATGGGAAAAAAATTTTTTAAATTATAATTTTTTTCAAAAATTGTTTTTCAAAAATAAAAAACTGTATTATATTAAAAATAATAATTTTAAGTTTATTGATAATAATTTTTATTATTATTAGTAACTTTTCATTTGATTTAAGTTATTTTGAAGAAATAAATAAAACGTACATAATAGTTTTTTTTTTTTTTATTTAAACATTGTTTTATTGGAAAAAAAAACAGTAACAAATTTTATAACAGACTTAAAGTAATCTAAATAAAAATATTTTGAGTATGTTTAATAGTTTTTTTTTTTTTAATATATATATATAATAATTAGAAGTGAAAAATTTCATTGAATCAATTCTTCAATTTTCTAAGCGCATCCAACAAAATTTGCACTTCCTGATCAACATTGTGGACCAAATCTTCCACTTGATGTTTGCTATCAATTATGCTAATGCTCTGAGTATAGGGATCATATCGAACACCAAACTTTCGTGGTATAGATTGTGAGAATTTTCTGAAATTTTAAATTGCAAGAAAAATATTATTCATTTTTTTTTTTCTATTATAATTTTTTATTAAAAAATTTTTTTTTTGCTTCCTCATATATAGAGGAAGTATTTTATTTGAAATTTATTATTTATTTTCTAATTATTCAAAAATAGAATATAAATAATATTTAAATAAAAATAAAAAAAAATAAATTTATTATTTTAATAGAAATATTAAAATATGATTTATTATAGCATTAGTATTGAGATAATAAGATGAAAATAAATATGCCAAGGAAATTGTGTGGAATGTTATTTTCATCCAAGTGAATAAACAATGTATATCAATTTTAATGGTAATTTAAAGAAAAAAGAAAATAATGAATTATTGCTGAAGTTATAGATAAGATATTTGTTTAGAAAATTATTATACTGACATCATTTTTTCCTTTGCGTCCTCAAAATCTTCAGCTACAAAATAAATTGGCTGATATTCAGTGATTGGATATGATTGTATTGCTGTTTTTACCGGTTCAAATGGTCTCAATTCAGGTTTTCCACTCAATGAATATTCCAATTCGCCAAAAGACGATAATAAACCAGCACCATAGGCTTTCAATTCTCCATTTTGTCGACAAATACCAAATTCAACAGTGAACCAAAAACACTGAAAATAATTTTTAATTATTTAATTGAAAAAAAAAAAAAGGAAACAAATTTCGATACTATCACAATAAAAAATTTCAGTATTATACCAGAGTTAACTACTGGCGCAGTACTGGTTCAGTATTTTTGCCAGTAGTAAATTTTTGATTGGGTATATTATATTATTTAGATATATATATATATATGAAATGAAATAGGAAAAATTTTTTGTAAATTATTATGAAAAAAAAAGGAAAATAAAAAATTTAAAGAATAAATGCCCTTACAGTTGCCAATTTCTCAATATATTCATCCGGAGCACCAAGTGAAGCCAACCCTATAACTTGAGCGAATTGGGCAAAAGCCGGATCGGCAAATAGTGGCACGTGACCCAAAACTTCATGACAAATATCTGGTTCCGGTGTGTAGAGTGGTTTACTACCATGTCTTATATATTGTGTACTGTGGAACACCCTAAATGCTAATCCCGCTAAGAAATCACGAGAAGCCAACAAACCGGCAACTGGTCTTAACGTAAATCCCGTGCAATCTAAAAAAAAAAATATATATAAATTTTATTTCTTCGATTTAATTTTCCAAATATATTTTAATAGAAATTTTTTTTTCCTCTATTTTGGAAAATAAATAAAAATACCTTTTAGGAAGTTAGAAATGTCCTCTAACTGTGGGATATTATCCTCTCTGTAGCCGCAATTTTCGATAAGAAGAGGGAAAACATGATTGTGCTCTCGACAGGCATACTTAGGGTAAAGCTCTGTCAATTTCCTGAATACAGTGCCCCATGTTGCAATTTCCTCAGGCGTATATTCAACCCTCGGAATTTGTTGACCCCTATAAACAACATTTCGAATTTTTTGATTATAAATTATATTTTATAATAAATATATATTTAACTAAAAAGTATTTTTTCAAAAAAAATTTTCTTTTCATATATATATATATATATATATATATATATATATATATATATATATATATATATATATATATATATTTAAGATATGAAAAAAATTGTATTTACGTTCTATAATGATAAGCAATATCAGCAAAGTATTTTCTCCTCTTTCTGTAAACAGGATCCGTAAATCCTGGATGATCACTATCAAGTTCAGAGCCATAAGTTAAAATCTGATTAGCAAACTTATCGAGGTCTCTAAATCTCCTGGGAAACCAAGGCACTGTTCCCATATTATCCCTATGATTCCTGTCATAAAACATTCTCTAATTAATTATATAGAAAAAAAAATAAATTAAATTGAAAATTTTCTCATTAAAATATTAGTAGAAATTAATTATATATAATTAAAATATTAATTTTTATAAAAAATATAAATTTTTATAATTTATATAAAAAAAGTAGAAAATAATAATAAAATTATCTTTTACCTTGAAATAATTGAAAAATAGTCACATTGTTTTTGTAATTCTTCAACAACACCTCCAAAATCACCACCTGGAGCACATTCAACCATAAATTCATAGCCATCGAGCTGACGAAGTGAACTTCTCGATTCAATATGAAGTAAGTTTACTTCATATTTCTAAAAATTGAAATTAATTTTTTAAATAAAAATTTTAAATTTTTTATTTAATTTGTTAAATATAAAAATAATTTTTTTTGTTAATAGATTTTTTTAGATAAAAAAGTATTTCTATTTATAAAAAACTTTAGACGTAAATTAATTTTTCAAATAAATATCATCTTTGATTTCATTTACATTTACTCCAAATGGAAATAATAATAATTAATATCAATTAAATGAGGAAAAGAAAACTCTATTCAATTCTATATATATTTTTTTTCAATTTATCATCTTTGCAAAGATTTCTTATAGATCAAAGTTATAAGAAGTCATATTACTGATTAAATTCTGAAGGGTTTCTATTGAACTGAACATTTTTTTTTTTTTCAATACTTACAGTGAAAAGCTGAAGATATCTTCCTAAAGCTCCCACCTCGTCTTCTTCTTTTGGCGAAAAAATGAGGCACGTACTTTTTGCTGAATCTCTTCCTTCTTTTATATAGTTACCACCTTCCATTAGTTTTGGCTTTAAAAATAATAATTATCTTTTCATTATAATTTTTTTTTTTTCGAAATTCATTATTTTGTAATTTTATTGAAAAAAAATTTTTTTTTTTAAATTAATCTCTAAAGAAAAAATTTGTTTTCAGATTATTTTTTTTTTAATGATAATATAATATGAGTAATTATTAACTAATTATCAATATCGTAATTACAGCTTGTATTTGCTCTTGAAACATCTTATTTTGTCCCATTTTGGAAAGGTCAGTCAGAATTGTAATTTTACACAACACTTATTGCGATAAAATAAAATTATGTATTTTCAGAATTTTATATATGATAAGATTTGAAAAAAATTAATCGCGTGTCATTGTTTTTTTTTTTTTTTTTTTTTTTAAATAAAAAACTTATATTTTTCTTAACTTTTTTTTAAAAATTTTAATTGAAATCCGTTTAAAAATAAATAAAAATAATCAAGTGGAAATTTATATTCAATAAATGAAAAAAAAAAAAACTAGTTGTCCGCGTCGAAAAATAGTATTCTACATGACGGTTTTAATGAAACTAAACAGTAAAAGTAATTGTCAATATTTATAAGAAATTTCAGGATACTTGTAATGTTTCGAATATTTACATCATTCATCATGAGGGGAATTCTGGGTATATATTCATCCTTTAAAATTGTTACTTTGTGATAAAGAAAAAATTAGCCTTCGGCTCTTTAATTTTTTTTTTTCACATTAACTTTCCTTCATTCAAAAAGCTGATGAAATATTTTCCTTGAGTTAAAGCATTTGATTTGTTTCTATTTCGGCATAAAAATTTCAATTTTTCAAAACAAATAAAATATAATGACAAAAATTAGATATTTATTTACGTCATTTGTTTTTGAATTTTAATTTCTTTTTTTTTTAAATTACAAAAAAATTCAAAACATAAAATTAATATAAAATTATTTATTATACTAGCAAAAATTAAACGCGCGCAAGCGCGCCAAATTAAGTATTTAATTGTTTGTTATAAAGAAATTAAAGATTAATATTATTAATAATATATACGATTATACGACTTTTTCCGACTTTTTTCAAAAATACGACTTTTATCGACTTATTTTAATAAAATACAATATTTTTTTTTACATTTGAAAAAAATGTTAATAAAATATATTTTTTTAGTATAAAATTTTGAACTAAAATGATTCTTCACTAAATTAATTATTTTTAATAATTTTAATGAAATACATCACAAATTCAATTATATCAAAATTATTTTTCAATTAAAATTTTTATGAAATTTAACAATTGTTTATAATTTAAAAAAAAAATCACAATGAAATTGAATTATTTTTTAAAAATTTCAATTCAAAATAAACATTATTACCCGAAATGTTAATTCAAAATCAATTAAAAATCCAATAATTATCCAAAATTTTCAATTTAAAATTTAATTATTTACCAATAAGTTTTCAATTTAAAATGAAATAAAATTCAATTATTTTCTAAAATTTCTATTCAAAATTAATTATCCAAATTTTCAATCAAAAATGAACTTCAATTAAATTATTATCCAAAAATTTCAATTAAAATTCAATTATTTCCCAAAATTTTCAATTCAAAATAAACTGAAATTCAATTATTTTCCAAATTTAAAATCCAAAATAAAATTTCAATATTCTCAAAAATTTGAATTCAAAATTAATTGAATTTTCAATAATTTGAATTTAAAAGCATCTAAAATTTAATTAATTCTAAAATTATCCATCGAAAATTTTTTTTTTTTTTTGAAATTTAATAATTTCAATTACAACTCTAAGGAAATTTAATTGTTTTTAACTATTTTAATAATATTCTTTGAAATTTCAACTATCTCAAAGCATTTTTCAATTAAAAATGATTTTCAAATTATTTTATTTTGTCCGCATTTTCTAATAAATTTTTAGTGAAATCATCTAAAATTTTAATTACAAAACACTTAAAATTTTAATTAATTTCAAAAATCTCAATTTTAAATCTTTGAAAAATTCAATTAAATTTAAAAAATATTTTCCAAAAATTATGTAATAAATTATTTTTAGTTCTGTAAAATTTAATAATTGTTTGAAAATTAACAATAGGTATCTTTTAAAATTTAATTATTTCTAAAAATTTCAATTTAACCCTTCAAAAAGGATTATTATTAAAAAAAAAAATTTATTTAAAAATCTGTAAAATATTTTGTGTTAAAATAAAAAACAAATCCACTTTTTTTTTTTTGAAATATAAATCGACTAAAACAACATTTTTGTGTCTTTAAGTTGATTCGAGACCTATGTTTTTATAATTAATATTTAATAAGTATTCGTTATGGCCTCTGGTACCTTAAAAATTAATTTTTTTTTTAAATTACTATCTTGTACGAAATTTCCTGGCGCATCTTTTTTTTCATTAAAAATTTTTTGTATTTGTATACGCAATTTTTGAATCAATATACAACTTTAAAAAAAATTTCGTTGGTAAACATTGTGTACTTCGTGAATTGAATTTTCGAATTTGGAATTTTAAAGAAATTTATTGCGAAATTTGGAAACACAATTATACAACTTTGGCAAAAATGGGGAAAAAAATTGTCAAAATTTGACACTTCATAAGATTACTATTAAAAAAAAAAAAAAAAACACGTGAAATCAGAAAAGGCCAACTTCAAGTTAGGACAGAAGGACAGACCAAGCATTTTATTATTATATAATTATCAATTATTGTGAATTTTTTTTTTTTATAAAAGAATTTTCTATACTAAAAAAATGGGATCATTTTTGTAACATATTGACTGTGACAGTATATATGCATATTTTGAAAGGAACGTTATATATATATATATATATATATATATATATATATATATATATATATTTACATACGAGAAACTCTATTAGGTATGCAAGTTTGCCCTATAGGAAATGTCGAAGAACATTTTCAACCCTTGTACCTGTTGTATTTCTCAAGTCAAAGTTTTCCATCTCATCTAATGTTAAACTTTGTATATTAGAAAGTTTAGTGCAAAAGATAAAAGGGACAATTCGTATGCATATTAACAACACTTGGATATATAGTCGAAAGATTTCTATATATATATATATATATGGTGAAAATCTGCACCGAGATTCAAGGGAAATTTCACCATTTCGAAGAGGGGATTATATATACTGAAAGCTTGCCAAAATTTCAAGACTTAACAAATTTCTCTAATACTCGAACAAATTTTGGAATTAAGCCAAATTCTCATAAATCTAATCGTTTTTGATAAAATATCATATATATATATATATATATATATGCTGAGGTAATATTTGCTTTTTAAGTAGAAAAAGTACAGTTAAGTCAGACGAAAATATATTTTTCAATAAGTGCAAATTTTTTTATCAATTTTTTATTCTTTTTTTTTTTACTTACTTTTAAGTAGAAAAAATAGAGTTATGTTAGATAATATTTTTATGTAAATAAAATTTAGTAAAACATTTAGTTTTTTTTTTCTTATTTACTAACTTTTAATTTAAAAAAAAGTTTGAGCCAACATTTATATTTTTTAAGTAGAATAATTCTTTATTAACTATATAAAATACAATTAATCGAGACAAAAATAAAATAACAAAAAAAAAAAAAATTGTAGCAAAAATAAAATTTAATTTAAAAAAAAAAAAATTTTTTCGTCAAGAAAATAAAGTTTTAAAAAATATAAAATCAAACTTTTTGAATAGCAGTTCCATTAAATAAACATGAAAACCATTTATTCTTGACACAGAATTTTGTTATAATTATAAATGACACATAGGAAAGGTTTTTTTTTTTACGCAATTCATCAATTTCCTCATTTAGTGTGTGAAACGTGTTTGAAGGCTATTGAATTAAAAACTTTGCTTTACAGAATTTATACAGACTCTTGTGTGCACCTTCACTAATCCGTATTACGAAAGCATTAATCTCATATATTTAAAAAATTCCTTCAATCGCACCAAAAAAAAAAAATAAACACCTTCATTTAAAATCATTAACATGTTTTTTTTTTATTTCAATCCATATTTCAACTTGCATTTTTTTTCAATGACACTCTTGACTTTTAAATTAGAAAAATAATTAATTTCCCCCCCCCCCTATCCCCAACATAATTCACATCACAGAAAATTAAAAGGCATTAAAATAAGCTGCAACGTTTATTATTTTAATCCATTTTGGTATTAAAATAATAATAATAATAATAAATAAATAAATAATACTAATAATTGGATTAAAATAATAAACGTTGAAGCTTATTTCAATGACTTTTAATTTTCTGTGATCTAAAAAAATATTAAAAGTAAATTTTGACATATTACAAATTTTTATTTAAAAAAAATAGTTTTTCTTTTCTATTTATTATTTAATTATTAAAAAAAAAATTTTATTTACTTTTTCAATATAAAGAGGTCAATTTTTTTTCAATAAGAAAAAAAAACTCACCTTGTCAGGTGGGGAGCCATCTGAGGTAAAAATATCCTTTTTTGATTGTTTAGGAATATTTTGAGGGTACATTTTTGATTATAATGAAGAAATATTTTTGAATTAATTTATCATATAGAATTTATATTGATTTGTCGAACGCTCTGGATAAACTGACGGATTTTACTCACAGTTTGAGGATAAACAACGTCAGTGAAAAAGAAAAAGAAAAAAAAAAAGAAATAAGATTTAATGTATTATTTAAAGAGAAAACGTATCACTGGTGGCAAAAAGAATAATTATTGCAATAGCATAGGTCATAGTGTTATCGAATGATTTACGATTATTCGGTTTTAAGATTTCATCATTATTATTAATATATATATTTATCCATTTTATATTTTCACGAAATTCACGACATTGTACTAATATTTCTTATTTATTTTTTTTTTTTTATTGATAATAATTTATTAAATTTCATCAATTATAAAAAATAAAATAATAATAATAATAAAATTATAAAATAAATTACAAAGGAACTGGAAAAATTTTTTTTATTAATTACTTTGTTAATTTAATATTTATTTATTCTATAAAATTGTCTAAAAATTATAATCTAATTAAATTGATTTTTATTTAATTCTTAATTAAAATTTTTCATAAATTAAATCACTTTATAAGAATTAGAATTTAAAGAGTATTTATATCACATTTTTTGTTTGATAATAATTAATGTATTTACGAGATAATAATATATTTGTATTTTACTTCCTTGAAATTCAATTATAAAAGATTAAGAGATTTTTCAATCAATTGAAGAATGTTGATTAAAATTAAACACTATTTTATTAGTTTATTATTTTACTATATTATTGAAATTAAAAAAAAATAACAATATTAAATTAATTTTATTATTTAATATCTTTATTTTTCTTTAGTAAATAGAAAAAAAAATTTATTGATTTTATTTATTTTCAATTAATTTTTTTCAAAAATAATAACAGAGAATGACTTTCCCACTGATTTTGACTTTGAATTTACTTGAAACGTGGCGCCAACTTGTGTTAAATATTTCAATGAGAGCGAAAGAGAAAAATTTTGAATAGAAAAAATATTAAAAAAATAAAAATATAAAATTGTTTTTTATTTTAATTATTATAAATATTTCTTCGAAAAAAAAAATTACATTTTAGCATTTTCAATATCAGTTAAAAAAATTATAAATCTATTTTTTTTCTCGAAAATGATATATTTTTTTTTAATAATTATGTGAAAAAAGTAAAAATTTTTTTGATAAATAAAATAAAATATAAAAAAAAAGAGGGTAAAAAGTAAAACAAGAAAAATAATAAAAATTTTGAAACTCGGGTATTTAGGGAATTCCAGCATCCCTGATATGTTGGTCCTCAATGGGCAGGCGCCTTTTGTCGCTCCTGTCAGATGCTGCAATGAGATTTAAACTCAAAATCCAGCGGTCTCTCAGAACCACACGAGTGGTCGTGCGATTCGTAACGAATCAAATTTTTTTTAAATTCGTATATAACGAAAATCCACAATCTGAACATGTGCGCGAAAAAATATCGCGACATTGTCAAAGCCGAGTGTCTTCTTTTAATTATTATTGGTGTTATTTGTTCCATCGGTGAGTAAATATTGAAAAAAAATATATATTATTTTGAAAAATTTCAATGTTTCCAAAATTTATGATTTTCAAAAAAAAAAAAAAAAATTTTAAAGTCAAACTAAAAATTATAATTTTATATTAGATTTCGTTTAAATATTATAATTAAATAAATAAAACCAATTTAAGATTATTTATAGTTAAATAAATAATAACTATTTTTTCAACAATTTTTTTCAGATTTTAATAAACTAAAATTAAAATATAGAAATAACAATTATTTGTTTATTAAAAAAAAAAAAATGTTTTCCAATAAAATAAAAATGGAAACTAGTTATTAAATAGAGTTTATAACATCAGTGTTTCTTGAAAATTAATTATAAATGTCCCATTGTTCTGATATCAAATTCAAGTTGCTCTATGATTATACAATATAGTTAGAATTGTATTTCAAAGATTTTTTTTTCCTTATTATAACTCCATTAAACAAAAAAACAATTTTCTCGACTTTTAATAAAATTAAACTCTCCGCTTTGCATTTTTAATAATGGATTATGTATATTATATTTTAATTTTATTTTTCATTATTTTTGTATGTACATATATTTGAAAGAGAATGCGGTTTATTATTTTATAAAAAAACCAAAAAATTAAAATCAACGAATATGATAATATATTTCCCATTTGATATTAATTATAAGAACAATAAATTATTATATCAATTTTATTATTTTAAACTTTATATTATTCAACTCCAATTTCCAATATTATTGATGATGATAATAATAATTGAAAGAAATTAGAATAATATAAAAATTACAAAAAAAGTTAAAAATTATTATTATTTTCTTTAAAAATAATTTTTCGTAATAAAATATTATTTATTAATTTATAAAATTTATCATTTATTTATTTATTTATAAAATATATTTTGAGATAATTAATTTTATAGTTTAGTAACAAGTCAAAAATTTAAATAAAAAACGTTTGAATAAATATTTCAAATTCATTTTTAAATCGCATTAGTAAATTATTGGTAAACCAATTTATCTGAATCGCTTAGTAATTTACAACACATCTACATGAATTTCGTAGAAATTTAAAATGTCAATATTTGAGAAAGAATTTAAAAAAAAAAAATTCTGTTTAAGTTGGTTTTTTTTTATCCAATAATTAACAGTTTTGTGCATTTAGAAGCTTAGAATAACTTCCTGAGTAGGAAGTTCTGTATATCCAACGTCAATCTAACAAGGGAGCTATAGTAAAGTTGAAGGATAACAGGAGTCACTCTCGTTACTCTTAGTGTAATCAAAATTTTACCCTATTTTAGTATGTCAAATTATGAAGTTTATTATTATCAAAATTTTCTTACATTATTTGTTTTTCATTACAGAAAAAAAAATTTTTTATTATTTTTTTTATAAATTAAAAATAATAATTTTAATATCTTATTATTTCTTTTTTTTATTAAATATTGTATAATAAAAAGAATATAGATGAAATAAGAGAAAATGTTGACAAAAGATAAAAACATTATCTCGTGCATTTTAATTTTATGCCCTAACATGAAACTGTATGGTTTATGAGCTTTAAAAAGGGGGTAAAAAAATGACACATGGAAACCATCCTGTTTACTACATCCGACATAAAAAATCCATTATTCTTCATTCATGATCTATTTCCTGCCAAGATTTTACAAGGGACTTTTACTATTATCCATTACAATTATTTTCAAATTGAAGGTAAATTTTTTTTTTCCCCTGTATAGTTGGGATAATAAAATTATTATTTTATATTTATATATTAAAAAAAATGAAAAGTAAAAAAAAAAAAAACATTTTTCTATGTAGTTTTAACTATTCATTTTTTTTATGATGATTTTTTTATTACTCACTGAATAAATCCAAAAAAAAGAGAGAAATTTTTTTTTATTTCCAGTTTTTTTTTTTAATTTGAATGTCAATTATATATATATATATATACTATTATTATGACAATAAAGTGAACTTTCGTGTCGCACAAGTTATGTATATCGATTTTCCATAACCGTGTTGTCAAGAATAACGATCGTTTCTGATAACCGTGATATGGATAATGCAACGTTTGTTCATGTTCAGAAAATATGATTTCTGTATTTTATGATATGTTACAAGTAAAGTGTCACTTTCTCACAGAGGATAACAATTTTTAAAATTGTATAGATTTTAAGATCAAATTCTCACAAGAAAAATATATATGTTTCCTTTTTTTTTATTATTTTATTTTTTCTATATAAAATTCACAATTTAGTAAAATAATTCTTTTTATTAAATATAAATTTAATTTTTTTTTTTTTAATATTTTTCTACATTTTATCAAAAATATGAAGAAATTATTTTTATGTTATTTAATTTTTTATGATAAATTAATATAATAATTTCTATATTACAGTTTCTGGTATTATAGTTATAATATAATAATTAATAAATAATATAAATTTAATTTATAATATTAAATAATATACAATATATTGGAAATATTGTTTTTCTCAATAAAATATTCTAAGGAAAATAATTGTGGAATTCTCTTAATTAAGATCTACATTAGTAGTATCGTGACATCACACAAGTTAATTAATTGTCAAATCCATGCAAATCTGGTTTATCGACTTCCTGTTCTGACAGTTCCACAGCTTTGATTCTAGTGCCAGGGACATTAAGATCAAGAGCTGCAATTATGAAAATTATAAACTGACAATCAAAATTTTCGCCTTCGACGTATATATTATGAAATTTAACATCCTCAAATATTTCATTATAAATTGTTTTCAACTAATTTAAAAATTATAATTCTTCAATTTTCAACAACAAATTAATTATTATTTATGTTTAAATTAAATAACTTTAAATTATTAGCAAAAGAAACTAAAATAATAAAAATTTTATATTCGGCTATAAGGCGTAAAAAACAAAGATGTAAGACTTGACACGTAATCTCAATATTTTTTTTCCAATAACTTTGATAAAAAAATATAACCGAAACAATATTTAAATCTGTATATTTGTTTTGAACCTGTTGCACCATATCCATGCATAGAATATAATATTTTTTTGATAGCATCCGTTTTCCAGAACTTTAAAAAAAATTGACTTTCTTCTCAAAGCCTTCTTTACGATATACGTTATAATTAAAAAAAAAGCAATGAAACTTTGAAATATATAGGGGCGCATGATTATCTCATAAAAATAATTAGCTAGAATTTTTCATTTGTATGAATTTCATTTGATAGAATTTCTATTTAGACGAATTTTCATTTTTCGAATTAGTATATTTAAATTATTTTCTTTGTAAACGAAATTTTATTTAACATAGTTTTTAAAATACCGAATTTTAATTTAATATAATTTTTATTTTACCAAATTTTTTGTTATCCAACTTTTTATTTTATAGAATTACAATTTAAAACCAATTTATCAAAATTTTCATTCAGCAGAATATTAGTAATTCGAATATTGTATAATGTCAGAATTTTTAAAACTATCGAAATCAGAATTTTTATATTTACACGAATTTTTATTTGATAGAATCCCTAAAACAGAGAATTTCCATTTGATATAGAAATTACAAATCGCCGAACAAGCATATAAGCGTCAGAAAGATTTTAGCGCCAATTTTAAAATAAACCAATCACAATTTTCTTAATAATTTCTGATTTGTCTATTTTAAAAACTACAACAAAATCTTTCTGTCGATTGTTTGTTCATTCGGCCATTTGTAATTTCTATCAAATGAAAATTCTCTATTTTAGGAATTCTATCAAATAAAAATTTGTGTAAATAATTATTCTGATACATGAAGATTCGATAAATTAAAAATTCTGACATTAAAAACAATTTGAATAACTAAAATTCTGTTAAATGAGAATTCTGATAAATTACATACTCTAAATCTGAATCAGTGAAAATTTCAAATCAGTGACTCAGTTTTCTTTAATTCACCAGTGGAATTTCACTGAGAATCAATGATTTTTACTGATTTTCAGTGAAATTCCACTGGTGGAAGAAAACTGAGCCACTGATTTGAATTCAGTGAAATTTTAACTGATTCCGATTTTGAGTGTAAAATTGAATAAAATTATAATACTTTTAAATAAAAGTTGAATAAAAAGAAATTCGTTAAAATAAAAATTATGTCAAACAAAAATTTGATACCTAAAAATTATGTTAAATAAAATTTTGTTTACAAAGAAAGTAACTCAAAATATTAATTCGAAAAATGAAAATTCGTCTAAAAAGAAATTCTGTCAAATAAAATTTTCACAAATGAAAGTCTCATTTCGAACTGTCTTAAAAAAAAAAATTATTCAAAAAACTACTTTTTCTCTGTTTTTTTTTTTAACTTTTTTTCTATATTTCAAAAAAAAAAATTTTTCTTAAACTAAATATATAAAATGATTAAATTATCCCAACCAAAAAAAAAGGGACACATGATTATGTTCTAAAAATCATTAGTCATAATTTTATCGAATTTTTTTTGTCCTAATTAGTTTTGAGTCGAATTTTAATTTGTTCGAAATAGCATTTGGCATAATTTTCATCAATTCGATTTTCTATATGGCAGAATTTTTATATAACGGAAAATTCAACTCACAGAATTTTTATTTCTTCGAATTTTTATTTGTCAGAATTTTTATTTGCTCGAATTTTCATGTTTAACATAATCGGCATTTTAAAGAATTTTTATTGGGTAGAATTTCATTGAATAGAATTTTCATTTAGATGAATTTTCATTTGTTCGAATTATATATAATCATGCGTCCCTTTTTTTTTGGTTGGGATAATTTAATCATTTTATATATTTAGTTTAATAAAAATTTTTTTTTTGAAAAATAGAAAAAAAATTAAAAAAAAAAACAGAGAAAAAGTAGATTTTTGAATAATTTTTTTTTTTTAATACAGTTGGAAATGAGACCGCATGTTGATTTTTCCTGTCATCGACATATATACCTTTCTACCCTTGATGGTCTCGAATGGCCGTGAACG